TTTGCCTTTGAAATGTGTTTTTTTTTCTAGAATGTGTTGGAAAAAAGTAAGTCACTGAAAGAAATTGTGTCCACAGTTATCAAAACCTTCAAACTAGAAAGAACATATAAATAAAAGGAATGATATCTTAAGGCTCTTGATTATTAAGTTAATAAATCAAATATACACAATGATTAATAAAAAATATACATATCTACAGGTTCTAAATCAAATTCTTCATATTGGCAGCAACTGCTGACATTGAACCCTCCCCCCCACCAAAAAAAAAAAAAATAAATAATAAAGTTGATCTTTTCTTATTTGACAGTTGCTGAAGTCCAAAGCTGAAAAGGCACTTTCTCCAAATTGAACTAGAAAGAATTCAAACACAAGCACTAGCTTTAGTGTTGAACATGTCGGGTAGTTTAGTCATTGTACAACTATTACACCAGGACCCCCTTTCCATGTGTCCACTAAATTCATTAAAAAAAAGGGAAATGAAATGCACAAGAGGACACTTTTGCAACTAGTTCTACAGTGAAATGTATACCAGTGCCTTGTGTTTCCAGCCACCCAAAGCAACTGTCACTGCCAGTGTAAGCCAGCTTGTCAAAACTTAAATTAACACGGGGAATTAATCAAATACTGTGGGGTCACGGCTGACATGGTAGTTTACCAACCACACATGCCAAAGCTCCCCCATTTCACCCACCAGCAGGGTGTGAAGGCATAAGGCTTGGTTGCGCAGCAACACAGCTGTCTGCTATACAATATAGTCCATCCTGTTTATGCTGTTTGCTGTCTCCAAGTCTCTGTTGTCCTGTTTATTAGTCCAGTTAGGATGTTTGGATGTGGAGTTGGGATTAGAGATGGCCGTCTTCTCATCCCTTTCCACCAGTGTGTATGCTGGTTGTTTGGCAAAGCGGCTCTTCTGTAAGTGCCTCTCCTTGTCGTCCTCATCCCCCTCGGGATGATTTGTCCTTATTTTGGCAATGATGGAGTTCTTGTTTTCATAGTCTTTGATGGCCACTGTGAGGCCCACGTGCTTCTCTATAGGGTTCTTGATCTGGTTCAGCTGCTCCCGCACGTTGTTGGTCGTGTTGTCCTCAGAGCCAGCGGCCGATGTCCCGTTGTGGTTGCTCTGTTTCCGTCGTCGGTGCATGCACCACAGCAAAATGGAGACCAGCATGAGGACCCAGATGACAATGAAGATGGAGCTAAGGAGGGGCACAAGGTAGTCTGATGGAAGAAATAAAAACAGTCACAGGTCAAAGAGATGCCAAATGTAATTAGAATTCTCAGTGGAAAAAGTACACAATAGATTTTATTATATTACTATGTCAAGCTTGTTGAATCATTAGCATGCTTTGACCAGTGCAACATGACCTCTGCGCCCTGAACAGGGGAGGAGGCTGCTTTTATTTGGCCATGGCGGCAGTCTGCTGTCACTGTCTTGATGAATGGTGGACACATGCGGGAGTCTTACTGAGTCCAGCCATTCACGGTACGAGCCAAACTGAAGCCACGTAGTCAAGCAGCTCTGCTCTTTCCACTGAAATCCTGGCTAGAATTTTTTTAAGGCTCCATTACAACTGCCATAAAATGGCAAACTTGGGCAGCCCAAGTTGTATGGAAAGGTGAGGAATTATTCGTCATACATGCACATTTGTCTTTGGTGCTTAGCACTGCTGTCATATTCAGGGCTGGGCTCTCTGCTCTTTTCAAAAAAAGAAAAAAAAAATCCTCCCACCCATTTCTACACATGCAAGTGTGTACAAATCTGGAAAACCTCATAGGCAACAACTAGAATTCGGAGGCAGTTCATACCAGTTTTGCTGGGGCTTGGCACGCGCACTTCTGCAATGGCAGAGATGATGGTGTTGCTCCCGTTGCGTTTGCTAACCAGGTCGATTATCCCTTCGGTGATCTCTTTAATGGGGCTTGGGTCCAAGCGATGGTCTTCAGTAGACTGAAAGTGCCAAGAAGAAAGTGAGGTTTACATTTAAGTTTCATCTCGTCTGCCACTAATCTCATTTATTTGCCGCCAGTGATGACAAACCCAAACCTAAATCCCCCACACATCCCTTTAGAGCATGTCCTAGTGTTCCTGAGATTGCATGTTGTGGGTTATAGATCAACAAGGATAATTTTCCTTCCATTAATCGAGGCACATAAACATATGGCAGACTGGGAGTGGGAGGAGTTACTTACAATGCAGACATGGATCTCATTGCTGGCTGAGAATGAGGGGTCACAGGTTATGGACACAGAATGCTCCAAGGAGAAATTCTTCACTATGTACAAGTGCCTCAGCTGCTTACACACTTCCTCCACGGTCAAACCCTGGACAGGAAGAAGAAATCAAACAAATGTTAATGCACATGGAAAATAGAGAGCAATCAAGGCAAAAATTGGAGAGCTAGGCTTTCATTTTGGCAGTAGTTTCGACATGCTAGCCACATCATTTAGATTAAACACCACAGGCTCACATGCTTGTCACTGTCTGGTGTCATGCCTGTTAGGCAACTGGTGAGTGATGATCCTGTGTGGTGCCTGAGTCTCCAGTGATCTGTTTAACTCCAATACATATGATCCTAAAATTAATCCTACAGTGTGGTTGGGTTAAGAGAGGATTGGCACAGTCATGAATGCCTGATTGTCAGGAGCACCCCAACTTGGACACAGAGGACAAAACATAGAGAAGAGAGAAATAATCCACTTTTGTTCTTGGAGCACACTTAAATACATGACTGAATTGTTCAGCAGTCTTGAACTAGGAGCCATTTCCATGAGGGATGGCCGAGCACTTCTGAAAACCTGATCTTTTACAGTTTGCTGCTCCCATTAGTTTAAGAGTGGTGGTGGTGGAGGAGAGGCGTGAAAAATGACCTTAAAATCCTTTAATTCAATCTCTCTCCCTGGTGCCTAGGTAACTCACTCGAGGCATGATCTCCTT